TCCTCCCTGGGAATCGTACATCTGCTCGCGAGTATCCGCGAAGTGGCGAAATTTCACGGTAAAATACGATCGGCGCGCGATGGTTTGTCGCGCGAGTCAGCGACAGCGGACTCCACGTTAGACGAGGACATCGACGTTGTGTGTCTCGCTGCACTTGCTGCTGCTGCGGCGATACATACGTGGCCAAAGAAGAGCGATATGACCTTCACTTCAGAGCCGGACCGAAATCTCCTGAGTGGTCCAAGCGTGCCTTTGGACTCGCCCGGCTTGTGCGCTTGACAGCCCGCGGCGGCTAACCAACTGCCTTGGCAGAGCTCAAGGTAGGTAGGTAGCTAGGTGGTAGAGGTAGATAGGTAGAGCTAGGTACGAAGGAAGGAAGGAAGAAAGAAAGGAAGGAAGGAAGGAAGGAAGGAAGGAAGGAAGGCAGGCAAGCAGGCAAGCAGGCAGGCAGGCAGGCAGGCTTGGTAGTCGGCCCGGGGATTTCCGGCTCTATGCAAGCGCCAATGTGTACACATTCTGTCGGCAAAGCCCTTTCGCGCACTCACCCGTCGCCCTTTCCTCGCACGAGTCCCTTCGAGTTTATTCGCGCTTGCCAAGAATTCGTCTGCACCTCTGCGCGTAGGTTCTTTTGATTTCGATTGACAGTTTAATCGTAAACGGAAACACGTTTCATTCGCGTGTGTATTATACATATTGTTTATTTGAGACGTTCTATAATATTTTCAGAGTCTCTCTTTAGTTCTTGCGATATCGGAAAGAATTAAGATGATATTTAAATAAGACAATATATAAATTGGGATTTTTAGATTGAGTTAGATGTTGAGAGATCACACTTGATCAAATAATATTTCAATGTATCTTCTGTAACTCTTTGCTCTATAGGCTGTTGAGGATCGATCGGCTGTACTTTTGGCACCGAACTTTCTCTCTTTCTCCCTGTCCGTTTATATCTCTCTTCCCTTTTTTCTAAATTTATTACCGAGCGATCCGTGCAATCTGGAAGATTTTCCCGATGAGCGAATTCTTATAAAGGATCGTGGTCCTTTAACCCGGCAGAGATTCGCATGGAGAGCTCATTTATTAATGGAAACGTAATTCCCGTAATGTACGCCGTCGAATAAAAATCCGGGAGGCATCCTATAAAAATTTAAATTCTTTTATTTCACATGGTATCACTTAATTTCACGAGGTGGAAAGAGAGGAGAGAGAGAGAGAGAGAGAGAGAGAGAGAGAGAGAGAGAGAGAGAGAGAGAGAGAGAGAGAGAGAGAGAGAGAGAGAGAGCATAATTACAACGAAAATACGTTTATTACAATCGCGTTGAAAACGCGCGATTCCACTTCGTGTGTATTATCGATTATTTAAAAAACACGATTCAATGAAACCGCGAGAATCGATCGATGCCAAAGAACGAGGGAATCCACAAGGGGACTCCTCTTCTTGATATTCCTCTTGCTCGAGCAGCGTTTCATTGTCACACCGGTTGTATATCGGCTGTTGTTGCATCATCGTCGCGGGGTGCTTTCGAGTCCCGATTGTGTCGTCAATAAGTTGCCGGGACTTCGTCAAGTCGTATACAAGTTCCGCGAGGCGTTATCCGCTGGATTCCGCGCTTCCACTTGGAATTTAAAACTTTCGCGGGACGCGCATCCCCCGCAGGATTCGCGCGGTGGCCGCGGATGCGGGGATGCGTTACATGCCCCGCCGCTGCAATCTGTTTCATCATGTCGGGACGAAACACGCTCCCGCTGTAAAAAGTGCGCCGTCCGTTGTGGCGGGCTATTTTTTTTCTAGGCCACGCCAGATCGCTTCCTTTCTGCCGATTTTTTCTTTGTTTTTCCACAGATTCGTATAAAACCGTACTGCCTGTTTTCTCTTTTGCGCTTTTATTGACTATTAGGAAACATGCGAACGCGTATACACGCCATGTATTTGCCCGTTAACCGAGTTTTCGAAGGACACCGTTGACTTTCCGCGACGAGCGAGCGCGATATGGCCCACGAATCGATGCGCGATATACACCGCTGCGGTAGACATCCAACAAAAAAAAGATCAGAATTCAACACGCGATAACAACGTGGAGAGAGTTGCGCTCTCGCGCGCTGGGATACATCACGCGGCCGCGCTTCTAATCGACTGGCGATCGTGCCGATTGCCGCTCGACGGCAATTTCTAATTGCGCCAATTCTGCCGTCGGACGTGACCGCGATCCAACTTTTACGAGCTCGTTAAAGCAATGATATCTTCCATCCGAGTAACTTATCGAGCGAGTAATCCTTTGCGATTCGTTCATGAGTCGCGATTTAACGCAGCGTAAACGCGTGCAAGCTTATTATTAAATACGCAACGAAGCGCACACGCAGATCGACCTCGTAAGCGCGTTACGCTTGCCGTTTCGCTGAAATGACGTAGCGAAATGTGAAGCGCAACGCGACGAAAATAAAAAATTAAGTACCTAATTATCGGCTAATTCTTCGTTCCCCGCATTGTGTGTGTTTGCCCCCCAACGCGGACGTTAATAAAATCCCGACGGCTCGCGCACCGCGACTTTCGGAAAGCCGCATTCAGCCGTGCGCGTGCGCGCGCACACACACACACACACACACACGTTTTGTGTTCTCCTTTTATCTGTTTCCTTTCCGCTCTCCTGGTCGCAATTATCGTCGGCGATATCTCACGCGGCGAACAACGAAAGAATCATCCGTAAACCATCCGGCTCCTAATTAGCTCCCTCACTGAATGGCGTGACGTAACAACGACAAAAGCGTAGCGTAATACGCCGCCGCGGCGATATGTTCGCCGCGCCGCGATGCGAAATAACAGGCGCGCTCGTTAAAGAGCCCTCGGGTCCTTCGAGAGCGCAGGGACTTCGGCGCGAAGGGAAGAAGGCATTAAAACAGGCCGGGAGCTCGCCACTCAGTTATGCGACTTTGCTCGCTCGGCTCGCTCGGGGACGATGACGAGTCACGGAGGCGCAGCCTCTACGCAGCGTAGGCACCGCCGACGCGATCCGTCGTGCTCTTCCGCGCGTTCCGGGTCGTTCGTGTCGGCCGAGTGGCCGTGAATGGAGTCGTAACGTAATCCGCGACCCTTATTTCGCACTTCAGTGGCCGACAAGATGAATGTTATCGACTATCATGTCCGCGCTCTCTCTCCCTCCCTCCCTCCCTCTCCCTCTCCCTCTCTCTCTCTCTCTCTCTCTCTCTCCGCTCCATGTACGCTTTATCGACGCGAACGATCGGTCCGGGACGACAACGACCCTCCCCGGAACAACACCGAGCGGCTTCTTCGTGTTGTCATCGCACTGGAGATACCGAGCGCGACGCGCTTTAACCCTCCGGCCGTTGCCACTTTTGCCGTTACGCGGCCCGCTCATGTTTGCGCGGCGACGTTATCGCGGAAAACCCGGTCGAGACTCTCCGCGGCCGATCTATCGTCGGATTAATCGTCGACTCGCGAATTTGTTCAATCAGACGTTGCTTTTTACGGCAAGACTTGTTCAATCGAACGATTCATTTGTTATGGTCGTTATTGTTATTATTATACCTTCCTAGGCGCATTCATATTATTACCGAGCACTAGAGCGGGTATTGATGTTACGTCGATGAGTGAATTGTCCCGCTGACCGATCAGTCGGATACGAGGTTTGATCAAGAAGAAGAATGAGAATTTTGAAATTGCGCGCGCTGTATCTTGTCTATTCAGCTGATTCTTTTTTTGTGTGTTGGTAGCACTACCAGTGACGTACAGGTTGCGTGAAAAGCTCGCGGAGCGGCATCTATAAGTAAACGGTAGAATTATAAATTGTAGTCGGTTATATAGAATCATTCTTCACATGAACCTAGGTTTCATTTCCATCTGTCAATTCTTTCTGTGTTTACAAGCCAATTGAAGTTGACGTGTCAGTATATTTGTTTGCAATGGAAAATTTGAAACAGCGTGCAGTGATTGAGTTCTTTGTTAAAAAAGGTTTAAAGGCAATGGAAATTCATTCCGAGGTGGTAAATGTGTTAGGGGAATCTGCTCCTTCAAAAACAATGGTTTGTAAATGGGGACTTGAGTTTCAACGTGATCGTACAAGCATTGAAGATGATCCGCGCAATGGACGTCCAAAAAGCGGATCAACACCAGAAATCATTGAGCAAATATATGTTATTGTTTCTGAAGATTCAAGTGTGACTACGCGTGAAATTGCTCATACCATAGGCATTTCAGACGAACGGGTACGGCATATTTTGCATAAAGAATTACAAATGAAAAAGATGTTTGGGAAAAGTGGTGCCGCATACGTTAACAATTCAACAAAAACTCGCTCGAAAGCAAATTTCTCAGCGTCATTTGGATAGTTTTAAGAAGAATAAAACCGATTTTGTGCGTCGTTTTATAACTATGGATGAGGCTTGGATCTATCACCATGATCCTAAATTGAAATAGGAACGTTTACAGTGGACTGAAGCTGGATGTTTAACTACAAAGCAAACAAAGCATGAAAGATCGGCAAAAAAGGTTTTGGCATCAGTTTTTTGTGATGCTAAAGGGATTTTGTTAATTGATTGTCTGGAAAAAGGTAAAACAATTAACTTTGAATATTGTTGTAACTTTTTGGATCAATTGGACGCAAAAATTCGTGAGAAAAGACCTGGTTTGCAGCACAAACAAATCATTTTTCACCAAGACAACGCACCTGCTCACACAAGTGTTTTGTCAATGTCTAAATTCAATGAATTGAAGTACAAATTGCTTGATCATCCACCGTATTCGCCAGATTTGGCATCCAGCGACTTCTGTCTGTTCCGAAACCTGAAACAATTTCTCCGTGGAAAGCATTTCTTGTCGAATGAAAAAGCTATAGCAGCTGTAGAGACATATTTCGCAGACCTTTCAGAAACTTCCGCGATGGAATAAAATTATTGGAGAGCCATTGGGCCAAGTGTATTGAAGTTAATGGAGACTATATTGAAGAATAAAATAATTTTTAGAATTAGGTGTTCTTTATTTCAGTTTCGCTCTGCGAACTTTTCACGCAATCTATACGTGTCAGTTTTCAGGCAGCTACGACGCTTAGTTTGTGTTTGGCGAGCGAATGAGCAAGACGTACTTCAGTGTGTCAGGCGATTTTTTCTGTGGCGAAATGTCGGATCAGAGAGTTTGTCTGAAATTTTGTGTTAAAAACGGAATTAAGTGCAGCGAAGCGTTCAAAATGTTAAAGAAGAAGCCTTTGGCGACGATACCATGTCACAATCACGAGTTTATGAATGGTACAAACGCTGTCACGAAGACCGAGAAGACATCGAAGATGACGCGAGGTCTGGACGTCCTAGCACGTCCACTAGTGATAAAAACGTGAAAAAAGTTAAAGAGATTGTGCCTGCTAATAGAAGAATCACCATTAGAGAGGTTGCTGAAGAAATAGGAATTTCATACGACTCATGCGAAGCGATTTTTACTAATGTTTTGAACATGAAGCGAGTGACGGCAAAATTTATTCCGAAACTGCTGAATTTTCAACGAAAACAGCATCGCGTAACCATCGCAAAACCAACTTATTCTCCAGACATGGTCCCCTGTGACTTTTTTCTATTTCCCAAACTCAAAAGGACAACATTTTTCAACAATAGATGGGATAAAGGTGAAATCGTAGATCCAGCTCAAGACAATACCTAAAGAGGCGTTCCACCAGTGTTTCTCAAACTGGAAACTACGTTGACATAAGTGTATAATATCACAGGGGAACTACTTTGAAGGAGACAAGATAAACATTGAAAATTAAATAAATACTTTCCGAGAAAATTAAAAATTCTCGTTACTTTTTGATCAAACCTCATATCTCGTTGACTCATCTCCTGTCGCTCGATTCACGTCTCGCTCCGGTAAATCCGACGCGGCGAATCGCGATAATCCCGACTAGAAATTTTGATCAGGTTCATCTAACATCGATAAGGACCTAATAGGAAATGAATGAAAGGTAATCCTAAGTAAGTCAGTCCTTATAATGTCCTAACGACAAATGAGTAAGGAAGACCTTTATAAGATTATAGTGATTGGCTCCACATTAGGACCTTAGTATACCAACCTAGTGTATGATATAAGATGGTTCAGTTGATCAGATCCTTGTCGGGATCTTATTCATTGTACCTAATATGATTTGCATTATCAAGTTTTAACAAAACCCATTTGTAATTAATTTTATATGTATATAATATGAATATGTGTGTGTGTGTGTGTGTGTGTGCGCACGTGTGTATGTGTAAAACTCTAATAGTACTGGATGCAGTATAAAAAAATATTTTGCCACATATAATTAGAGACAGTTCAATTTTTATCATATGACGCGCAACGACGAGTTGCCTGTAGCGGCGTGCGCACTGCGGCTCTCATTTGTCTTGCATTTGTCCATAAATGGGCCTACAAGATAAAAGAGAAGCTCGAGAAGCAGTTCAGTCGCCTACTCTGTGCATGCATGTTGCGTATCTCAGTGCGTGTTTCGCGATAATTTATTGGTCGTGACGAAACATTTTACAAGTATGCTCAAGCGATCTAAAATTATTATTTCATGCAAATATCTTTTTATTTGGAAATGACATGAAAGAATTTTCAGCGTGTCATTTCTTATTTCCAATGTCATCATCCAACACAGCCGTGGCGAGTAATCAGGAGCCATAATTTGAAAAAATAAGCGTAATAAGGATTCCATAGGGTAACTCAATAAGGACCTGACTATGAATCTTACTAAGGTCCTGATATCCACGCTGCGTTACATGACTTACTAGAACCCGATAGAATATTACCTTATTGGAGGACCTGATGTCCAAACGAGGTTAACCTAATCAGGACCATGGGATAAATTTCTAGTCGGGATGCGACACGGAGCGCGCGAGCTTGCGAATCCACGTTGCGCGTCGACTCTCCAGCGTCTCGCTTGCCGGCGGAACTCTTAACGGCGAACTTACGCTCGCGAGGATGTCCAGACGGCCGAACAATGCGGTGGTATCTGAATGAGAAACGGCGCGGCGCTCGCGAGGTTCGCGATCGGCCAGCCGTTAATGCACATCGTGTGCGGGTCTCTGAAGCGCGTATCGAGATATCGATCTCGGCACGGGGCTTCCGGTACGGCCCGTCCGAGCTGAAATTTCGGCGGCGGAAGGGGCTGGAAACAGGTCAGCCGGAAGTTGTCGGTGTACACGCCGCGTTTCCACGCAGGTTATTACTGGTCCTACTGCACCGCGCTGCGTCCCGCCGCACCGGTAACGTTATCCTGTCCGCAAGCCCTTATTTCACAGACCGCTACTTTGCAAGATGAGCGTCGCGGACCAGCCAACCCTCACTTCGTTTCGCGCGAGATTTGCTTCGCTCGTGACGTGAGTGTATGCGCGTACGTCGCGACAAACATGTTTCGTGTGTCGGTGTCTTATTTCCCGAAAGTAAAACAGTATTACGAGAGCGAAACTCGGGAGTGGGGGAGGGGCTCAACGGAAGGACGAGAGGGGTGGGGGTGGGAAGAGAGTGATACTTGCGGCGAAATTTTCTCCGGACGGCATCGCGGCGCGATCGCAATGCATCCGGATTCAATTGACAATTATGCGAGGGAGTAACAGTAGTTGCATTTATATGCAAACTATTAATTTACATGCAGTCGCTGGCGGAGGGACGTTAATGGCATCGTAATAGCACGATTTGAAATCTGATCATGATTTATTTCCGCGGTACAATCTGTATCACGACGGTGTTGCGGCGAGAAAACGGATAGCCAGATATTTAATTTTGTGCAAATTTGATAAGAGCCTGAAACCCGGAGGCGAACTTCCTCCAGACGCGAGAAGAGGAAGATTGCCAAAAGTACGTCTACCAATTTGACTGGATCAACGTTCAATTATCTATGAATAGACCTACACGAACGATTTGAGTCCCTCGCCCGCTTCCAATTTCGAATATAATTCAATTTCCATTAAACCGCGCGACGAGCATTATTCGCCACGCTGTGCCGACTGAAAGCCGTTTATTGTTCCTCCGTCAACGCACAGCATTGATTTTTTCAAATTAAGATACTTCTTTCTCGGCCGTTATAAAGACAAAAATGTAAAAAGAGACGAAGAATAATCTAGGGATACCCGCAGGATTATTTTGCGTTTGTTTCTTACCGCTGCACGGGGATCAAAAGGTAAACTTCATTAGTAATCTGTTTACGCAAATGGCTAATTATGTACGCGCGTAAAATGTTTTGGTAGAATCGATAGAGTGTGAAAATGAGTTAAACATATTTTTGCAAATGGATTGCATCTTGCATTATACAGAAAATATAGATTTTCTTCCCTCCCCGCCTTCTCTCTCTCTCTCTCTCTCTCTCTCTCTCTCTCTCTTTCTCTCTCTCGCACACATGCCTGTAAATTCGCTACAGAATTGAACAGCCGCGCTATCACAACTCGTAACAATTCGCGCGCATAACGCATCCGTCATTAGTAAATGAAATTAGTCGAAAATTTGGCCGTCTAGATTAGCATTTATCTCGTTGTTCCTAATTACGGTTTATTTATTTACCTGGCGATATCAGCAGAAATTATGTCAGAGTTAATTCGACCCGTGAAACTCGCGATATTTTCCCGCATATTCCCAATTGCTGTTTGGCTTCGCGACTATCAAATGCTTGGTAAAAACATGCGAGTAAAGAAAAACAAGACGAAAAATTATCGATAAAAGGATTTAGGAAGAAAAAGAGGACACATGCCGTTAAATTATTCATGCACTGCTGACAAAAACAATGACACGATCAAATGTACAATTAATTATTTCGCGATATACGCGCCGTTTGTTTTCGACGGTGCGATTAAAGTCACTGATATAATTATGGCGTATTAATTATGAGTATAATGTCAAGTTGGACAGAAACAATCTGATCAATGCATCAGTTTTATTCTTCGGTCACGGCGACTTTTTTCTTTCTCTCTCCAACTGCGCCGCGCGAAGCCGTTTTAAATCAATACGATTTTTCCAATACGATCGTTCCATTCTACAGAGAGCAGTCGGCGTCAATTCTCATCAACACGCGCGAAAGGCAGGACGGCGAAATTCTTAAAATATCCCCCGGCGAAATTGGGTTAAATGTAGTATGTTTTGCGGTCGGAGTTAAAAATGTTATTTTACTACGTCACCCGAGCTTCGAGCCAATCGACGCGCTCGCTCGAGATAACCGACGACGACGCGTCGATGTTACAAATATAAACTGGATATAATTTAGAACCTTCTGAAAGATCGATTACACAAAGAGGCACACTTTAGCGATAATAGTGTGTACTTATTGTTAGCTCCCCCTCGAGACACGTCTGTCGTTTACTTCGAGGAAATGGCGCAACATTTCATCCTTCATTGAGAATAAACATTTTGATACGCGTCAATCTTTACGAATCTTCACGTTTTCTGTCGCCTCAACTGGAGGACGAAACAAAAACTTTTAGTTTATAAATGAGAGTTTCGCACGAAGGGATCGTGCACGTCAGGACGCAGAAAGTAAGTCGGGTAAAGTGCAGAATTTTTCGCGATTACACGCGAATGAGTACAAGAGCTTGAATATTAAAAGGGTCAAATGAGATCTCTCGGGGAAGACTCGAATTTTATCGTCTAACCGTGTCAGCCAGTTTACGCGTGAAATCGCGACTCGGGGAGGAAGGAGGAGAAATCTCTCGATAATGCTGTTACTATTACGCGAGGTAACGCGAGGTAATCCGATAGCAAGTTACGAGCGGATCCATTACCGGCCAGGAGGTGGTCGGTAAATTTATAATCTCTCGGTGATGCTTCGTTCGATTGCAGGCCCTGTATTAACGCATACTTTATCGGCCTTTTCTTCTGCCTCTCCTTTTTGCGGCTGCAGTCGGCTGACAAATGCGCGATAATAGTAAACAAATAGTAAACTGTCACGAGACGCTATGGTTGCCTCCACAAAACGGCAGCGAGTAACTATTAGCAGAGTCGCAAAACAATAGAGGCTACGTAGTCTTACGTACATTGAGATTATCGATTGGTCGATAAGTTCAAGCTCGACGGAGTTTGCGACGATTAGAATTAAAACTACGACTCGGGAGACTGGTCGAGTTTCGGAGAGGTATTTGAAATTATTTTGGTGACGCGTCCGCGATTGTTTAACTTTTACAGAACCAAACATGTGTAGAATAAAAATTTCAACACAAACATGATGTATCGCATCAATAATTAATTGACGTAAAGAAGCAGTCGGTTCTTGATAAACAGATCTATATTTACGAGAGAGGTGAGAAAATATGTTTAAACATTCAGACGGATTGAACGTGCCGAGATGCTTTATCACTTCTTCGTTCATATAAGGTGCACATAAGAGAAACAGCGAGTGTAAGAGAAACGCGAAATGCATTGTTATAAAACGCCGTTGTACCGAACGCTGAAAACGAGATTTGACTCACTTGTTACCAGATTAGCATTTATATGTTTATTTATTTCCCTTCAAACAATCCGTGCCTATGATGCAATTATTAGCCGCGCGTATAATTACGCTGAAATTATCGAAAAAAAGGGGAGCGTAACTTGACATATTTCACGTTGACGGCGTCACTCGTTTTAATCGCATGAATTACTCATTTGCCGGGGAACCTTGTCGGGTGCAATAAATAACAAATGTTTCCGCTCCTCGCTCTTCTCGTTCCCCCGTTGGCACGTAGTAAAAGTAAGAAATTAATTAATCGACAGAAATAATTGCTATCGCGGTGCAAGCGTCCCGCCGACGGGACATTTTTGCGCACAGTTTCGCGGTTGGATGTAACTTTAAACTCACCAGTTAAGGCCACCTCTTTCGCGGAAATAATTGTTCTCACGAGGGCGATTGACTTGATGACGAAATCGAACAGTTCGGAAAGTGGGGCTCTTCTTCTTCCTCACCCACAGCGCGAAACCGTAACGAGCAAAAGAGAAAGAGAAAAAGACAGAAAGAAAGAGAGAGAGAGAGAGAGAGAGAGAGAGAGAGAGAGAGAGAGAGAGAGAGAGAGAGAGAGAGAGAGAGAGGTAGAAAATGAGAATGACTCGAAAGGAGACGGTCGACGACCTCATTCTTTTCTTTCCTCGTTGTCTCTCCGTTAGTCGCTTCGTTTTCCCCCGTCGCCTCCGAATGGAAATCGTGTTACGGACGATAGCAACGCGAACTGTAAATTATTCTTGACGCCATTAAATCTCACCGCCACCACTCGTACCGTCGCCCATCGCTCTTTAATTGTTATGTCATTCGCGGGAAAGGACTCGATACACGTTACGGGGAGGAAGCAAACGTCTGCGACGGTTTTTTTAGATCCTCGCGCGCCAAATGTTCCACCTGATAGATGCACTCTCTGTGGAACGATCTGATGAAGTAGATATCATTCTATGATCGAGAATCGCGTGTCGAAGAGATATTTTTACGAAAAAAAAAAAGAACCATGAGTTTTAGGTTGTTTGCTCTTGGAAAACATTCGTCGGTTTTCAAGTAGAAATTAGATTTGGTCAAACCCGTACAAACTAAATGCACGGCATGATCCTATAATTCTTCATTTGTGAATTGCAAGCGTGACATTGTTGTAGGTAGCGACGAGTTCTTCCGACTGTCGTCAATGTACGAAATGTAGAGCGGTGTATATGGCATTAAAAGAACAGGTTGCCTGCGAGCGAAGTCGGGAGTGCGCAAACGTTATATATTTTATTTCCTTCGACATTGCCCGATGTGTATGTATATGTGTGTGTGTGTATGCGCGCGTACGGCTTTTTAAAACAAAGACATTGTCCATTGTGATTTATGCCGCGGCTTCCGCGCTCCTTTCTGATACCGGGGGGTTACGTGAATAATCTATCATGTAATCGCCCGGGCGAAAGTAAAACAAATGGCACTGCTTTCGGAAAGCTTTTAGCTCGGGAAACCTGCTAAGGCTTTTACTTCTGTTCCAAGAATATTGTAGCGCGCGCACGTGCGCGACACGAACTGCGTCTTTTATTTATCAATGTCCGATACGAGACTGCCGCAAGACGGCATCCATTATGATTCATAATCGTACCGTGGAAAAAGTCGCATCGCGAATTACACGAGCTGAATCGACGAGTCCCGCAATGGAGTCCCTCCGGGTCGCGTAAGACGAACATTGGACGGTCACAGTGGGACGAATTGTACATTTTCTCAAGGCTCTCGAGACTCTCTCGACAAACATTATAATTTCTTGCGAAAAATGCTTACGTGAGTCCAAGTCTCTTTGCAAACATTTCTCCAATTAATTTTACAAAATTGCCAGATTTACGAAAGCGGAGTTGATTAGTTTCGATTTTAAGAGGCATAAAGAACGTGTGCTTTATGGGGAGATACAGATTTAAAATCGTAGCGTTATACGAGGAATCATTGAGGAGTATCATCATCATCCGTAGAACGAAACCACTCGTAAATTCTCGACGAGTTCTCGCGAATTATAATGCTAACTCACGTAAAAATGATTACTGCATGAAGAGAGAGAGAGAGAGAGAGAGAGAGAGAGAGAGAGAGAGAGAGAGAGAGAGAGAGAGAGAGAAAGGGGGAGGGGGCAGGGGAGTTCCACAAGTTCCGCGGCACTTACACACGGGATTCAAAATTCAGACATTAATGTCATTATCGCTTCCATAAGAAATTCCGCGGGATTTCGGGATCCGCATGCAAATTTCATGGTAATGCAGCGCAGCGTGTCCCTCTCTCTCTCCGCCACCCCCCCGGCCGCATCGCAAAATTTCAAATGCGACGCCGCCGCGCTCGGGCCGCCTTTTATTTCACATGCACCAATGCGAGATTTTACGAATCATGTGCGACCCATTACGAGCCATGATTATTACAAGGTGGACAGCATGAATAATGCATCGCGTGCAGGGATAAACATCGCGCGATCTATAGAAAATTAAAGCTCTCGCCGGAGCTTTCGCCGGTAACGACAGATTGCGTCGAATTATACCTCATTTTTCCGGCAAGACCCAACGCCATGTTTGTTCGGCAGGGGCATGAATAATGGATTATATAAATAAAAATGCCGGTAGAACAATGCCGACGGAACGCTGAGTTCCTCAGCTTCTATTTTGCGGGACGGCCGGATCGCGTCTTTTATTCCTCCCGCGGACTCTCCGACTTATCGACTCGCGCGTTATACCGATTCGCATTGTGTAAATTATTGCCAATATAATCCGCGTGAATAATACATCGCATGAATAAAAAAACACTCGCAAGTCTTACGTTTCGGCTGTTAAATCTCCCTCCCACTCTCTCTTTCTCTCGTTTCGGGATTATTCGCAAAACTTCGCGGGCGAAAGGATTCGCGTGGTCTTTTCTTTAGTTACACATTCGATTCCCTGTATTCGGTGCCTTATTGCTTCTTCATGCGTTATTACCTTAAAAGTGTCTTAAAACACACGCATGGTCTCGGAGGAATCTCACGAGGAAGTGACTTTACGAAAAGTTGCAATCAATAAATTAATATTGTAGACGTGAGAAGGAGACGAACGTGCGTATCGAGAGTGTTGAGCGAAGCGTCGGCTAAAATAAGTCGTTACGCGAAGAAAATTCCAAATATATAATATTCTATCGCGAGCTCAAAATTGCGTTTCTCCGGTCGACGCCGAAGCCGGCGGAAGAGAGGCGCGACCGATCGGACCGGATTCGCCGGGAGAATTCACAGATATTATATCTGATATTGCCGAATTAAAATTCAGCAGGTACAAATTAAAATTATACGTCTGACCTATCGCACATCTACAATTAACTGTATGATAATAACGCATAACCAACCACCTCGATTATCATTGATCCTGTTACCATTAATTTGAATTTAAACCAATATTGAAAATCTCGATTAACCACGCATGGTTAACATCGGAGCATAAATGACGTACAATTAACGATTAATTATCGGCGACAGTAATTAAATAATTATTTCCTCGCTGAGTCTCGCGCGCACGCGGCGGAAAGGCGAGGGGGCGCCGCCGACTATCCGAATTCGCTCGCTCGCTCCCTCACTCATTCGCTCACCTAATTCCGGACCGCAGACCCTCGGTATAATCTCCAAAATTGCGCTGCACGACGGGTCCTCGAAGCACAATTGGCGGGCGTAGAGGCAATTCAGGATGGCCACCGGCACCTTGATGCCGGATCCTGAAACATAATCGACGGGGGCTACGTATTAAAAAAAAGCGTCAGTTCGCACATAAAGAATGCGCCTTTAACATTTTCCCCACGCCGCAGCGCGGCGAGCGAGATTAAAGCCGGACGTTACGGCGGGAGAAGGAGAAAGGAGAAAAAAGGGAATTCCATTGAGATCGGTTCGCCGGCGCCGAAAAATTCGGGAAATTCGTCGTTATTACGGCGAATTACCGCGCGGCGAAATGCCGGTCGAAAGACGGCGACGGGGTGAGGCTGGGATCGGGAGGATGTATGCGTGCGTGTATGCATATATACGCGTATGTATGTATACATGTGTACGTGCGCAGTGATTTAATATCCCCACGATAAAGCGTTTCCGTTATTTATAACCGGCCGACGTGGAACTCTCCGACGACGACAAATTATATTTCATTAAGCGAGCACGGATAGTTTGAATGAGAATAAAAGGGTGCGAATAAAACGGGCGCACGCGCTTCTACCTGGTCCTCGTAAATCAGTGCGAATTAATTGTGACGTCAAAATAAAAAGTCTCCTGACCAGAAAGGAGAGCGCAAAATTTTTGGTTGCACAGAGCCTGCGGTAACGCGGTGGCACTGTCAGCAAACGACGCGATGAACAATATTCGCGGCGAAACGAGACGCTCGTACGTCAAGTTGCGATCCGTTCTGAGGAACGAGTTATCGATCGAGAGAGAGAGAGAGAGAGAGAGAGAGAGAGAGAGAGAGAGAGAGAGACAAGATGGTTAATTTTATTAAGATTTTTTATTAAGATAGTCATTTTCCGCACCAGCTATCTATAGATATATTGTCCCAACAAAATTGTATCGTATACAATATGCATGCTGATAGTGATAATTATCATCATTAACGCTGTAATACTAAAATTTACTAAAGAAAAAATGCTTTCCCAACAATAATTACAAATAGTATATTTCTTTTTCTCAGTATAGTAAAATCCTGCGTGAAGCACTCTCATCATGCTGTCCGCGCTGCAAATCTGAAGCGAGATCGGAACGAATGCTGTCCCGCATCGGTAAATTTTGAACTACAAGCGATCGGAATTAAACATCGAGGATTTACCGGGTCTCAGCTCGCGTTAGTCTACATTGTGCAAGGAGCTTTTTTATAATCAGACACTTGGAATTGCTGATGCAGGAGGAACGAAGAGAGGAATGTCGCTCGGCCGAGAATCGACAAAATATCCATTTCCGTGGAAAAATCGCGTGCAAATTATAAAAGATATAAAAAATGTAATACACAGTAAAGACATACGTTTACGCTTCGATGAGACTCCCCGCAACGCTTACGAGGCTCCGTGAATTTTCCGATTCTCGATTCCGATCGTTCGCAGGCGATACGAATTTAACTGCGTCCGAAAGCACCATATTTTGTCGGTCGTTTGCCGGCGGATTTTTTCCGCGGCCGCAAACTCACGCGAATCGCCGGGCGTGTGAGTATAAAGTGCAAATTGCGTCGCCGTTAATGCACCGATAAAGCTGCGTATCGGGGCTTTTTGGTTAATCAAGCGACGCGATCGCTGCCGCGTAAAAGAGCGCCGGGTGACTTTTTGATTTCGCCGCTTTATGACGCGATATTCTCCCCGGTGTGATTCATTTCGTTTAATTAATCACTATGTTTCACTACATTATATATATCCGCCGTCGGCTACGCGATATCGCGATTCGCTCTCGATCGCCACCGCGGCAACGTTCCTCTCGCGGATCGACGCTGCAGGAAGGATACGCTGCTATTATCAGTAAAAATAATGGAGGTTACTCGATGCAACAAAGGTGGGAAGACTTTGTTGCACGAAACGGGACGCGATGCTCTGCGAGTCGATCGGGCCGCATAAGCAGCCAACTGAGATGTCATTTCCTGCTTCGCGTGAGTGGCGCGTGATGGGCTGTTAAATATTAATAATATACCGCTGTACAAAATACAAAATCGCCAAACGTGGATATACGGTGGATATACGGTTGGCTCGTCGGTGTCTGTTAATCGTCAGCGTCGGGGAACCGACGTAGTCGCAAACTCCCGAATAAATCATGTGCGCATCGAATCGCGCGGGCGAGATCGCGCACAGAGACTCGCTCGATGCGAAAAGCCAATTATATTTCTCTCGAAAAAATATGCTGCACTCCAATCGCTCCGCTCGCTCGTTCGCTCGGCGCGGCGGAGGGATGTCGCGTGTCAAATAATATCTCGCTCGAATTTCGTTTGTACGTGCGCGCGGTGTGTACGTGGTGTCAAGAATCGAGTCGCCACCGTGGAAATGTCTTTTCGCATTATTGCGTGTATCGGAAATGTCATTGCCGGCGGGATTACGTCCCGCGAGATGAACGTACGAGTGCGCACCGAGTCGCCGGAATAGAGAAGGATCGCGAGGAGCGTCGCTTACGGATACCTTATGATATCACAATACGTCGCGCAGCGCGCACAAATTTCTTTCGCGTTTGATGCATCGCGCAACGCCGTATCGCGAATACGAATCCTTTCATCTTCTCTTTCCCTCCCCTCCCTCCCCCGCGCTCTTCGTCCATTTCTCTCTCTCTCTCTCTCTCTCTCTCTCTCTCTCTCTCTGTCTCTCTCTCGCTCTCTATCTCCCTCGCGCCCTTTCTCTCCCACGCTTACACCTACGTCCCTTCCGCAACTCTCTTTTGGCGACGGCGAAATTCTCAAAGATGTAGGAGCACTTTCGGAAATGGCCGTCGTCAAAGGCTTTATTCGACGCTCACGATTGCAGAAATCCGTCTATTTCGGCGACAAGCGAGGAAATGGAGCATTGTGACCCCGGCTCTTTCTCTCTCTCTCTCTCTCTCTCTCTCTCTCTCTCTCTCTCTCTCTCTCTCTCTTTCTCTCCCGAAATGCTATTCGCCGCTCGTCAAAATCTCGCGTCTGCCACGAAGCGTATCGATCGTACTATTTAAATGTATGAATATTTCCGCGCGGCGTTAAATCTCGCATCTCCGAAATACGACAACCATCCTCCTTTCTAATATACTCGATCATACATTCAGCGCCGCCGGTGTTGATCAAGTATGCTCACATTGTGCAGTTACGTACATACATACGTACGTACCTTACACACAGGCGTATCCGTCAATTTTCCGCCACACCGTCCCTCCGTCGCGTTCGTAAACGATCCCGGAAGAGAGAGAGGAGGAGAGGGGGGAGGGGGGGGCGAGACCTCTGATCGGCCGCATTAACATCAACCGCTCCCGCTTACATTCGCGAGAGCATAGCATTAAAACATCGGCCGCTACGCGCGCCGCTCTCGCACGGCGCTCTGCCGTCTCTCTCTCTCTCGCCATAAATTCTCCCCTTACTCACGCGGGGACGATCGGAAAAATCCCGCTGTCACAGTGCCGGCGCCGGAGCGAATGCACGCTCGAGTGCGGCCACGAGGTGACTGCGCCTCGTATAGAGAATTTTTTATAGCCGCTCGCGTCCTCCGTCAGCTTCCAACCCTCCACCTCTTTCTGCTCGCCCCCTGCCCCGCCCCCGCGCTCAGCGTCGCTCTTCCGAACGTTTCGTAATTAATTACAGCAGCGGGGCAGGGGAGGGAACAGTGCGCTCTCTTCTTTTATCGACTTCCGCTTCGCGAGTGGCTCGTAAAAATCCGCGTGCTCGGTTTTTCGGTGTCTCCGTCTCTCTCCCTCCCTCTAATCCTCTCTCTCTCTCTCTCTCTCTCTCTCTCTCTCTCTCCTCCCCTCTGCCGCGTCATAGTGTCCGTATCATTTCATATTCTCGGCCTTTTTCCTCCTCCTGTGTACCTTCCTGCCGCGCTCTCGTGACGAAAAATCTCGCCGACTGACTGTGCCGTGACGAGGGACAAGCAAATAACTGCGCGAACGAGCTGTTAAACTCGAGGAGCGAAACGACGAGCAGAGCCGCGAGAGCAGCGCGCGCGCGCGCGCGTCAGCCGCTGTTCTTCCCCGGTGCTTCGTTCTCGTTGGCGAGTCACGCGTCCCATGTATGAATATTATTTCAAATGATGTGTAATGAGGTGTGCGTGCTTTCTCTATTTTATTTTCCTTCCAAGCTACCGCGAGTGCGGGGGGGAGGGGGCGACGTGCCATTTGGCAATTGAAAAATTTCATATGCGTATTATTACCGCGTCGTAATCGAGCCGCGCGCAGCCGAGTGCAGTCTGCGCATCGTTGCGCCGCGCATCAGCTGTTCGCGCGAGAAATTCCGAGATCGTCCGCTCGCAATTTTCATTTTCCTTCAAAAATCGCCTCCGTCGAGCAGTAACAGCGCCGGGAAGCGCGCATTCTTAACTGCATCTCGCATGCTCGCGCGCTCCGGAAATCCCTTCTTTTTTCTCCCTCCCTTCCTTTTTGTTTCTTGAAGCGCGACCGTTGTATCCCGACTGCAAATCGGTTTTTAAACCGAACGTTCCTTTAAAATTCAATTTAGCGAGTGGATTCCGCGCGCACGCTCGCTCTCGAGATGCACGGCGTTTTATGTCCTGCATTAAAAATGAGTGGCACTACTTATTTTTCTTCTCGCCGTCGTTAAGCGAGAAAGTGCTTCCCGCGAAGAACAGAGGAGAAGGAGAGGTAGGAGGGGGTGGTACAAGAGCGAAGGGGAGGACGGAGGTGGCGCAGCGGCAAAAGAAGTCACAAAGAAAGAGAAAGAGAGCGGGAGAGAGTGAACCCTCTTCCCCCATTCCCACCCTCATCCCCTTCCCCGCCCCGCCGCGCCGTTCGCCTAAAACAACGAGCGATTATAAAACCGCGGCCGAGACGCGGCAAAAAGGTTTCGGAGGGGAGAAAAAGTTGCACGCCGCAACGAAGAATAATTATGCCGCGGAAGGACGGTAACAAACGCGCCGGTAAAGTAAGGGAAGGCTTCTGGGTCCGGGGCATAATAAAGCGGAATGGAAATATTATTCTACCCCTGTCTCTCTCTCTCTCCCCTCCCCCCTCTCCTTTTCTTCACCCCTTCATTATCCCTGTCATTTTTATGACGCGTTGATGGAGCGCGAAA